AGGAATGCCTGCAGTTAGCGGATATGGTATCCTCTGAGCGCCACAAGCTGTATCTGGTAAGTTCTAGAGCATTTTCACTTTTAAATTTTAGTGATTTGATAACCTCTGTAATAATATTTAGGTTTGTGAGATGTGTTTATATTCTTTAGATGTTCTTAGATTTTCTTAAAGTAGGGATCCAGTTTTAATGTTTTTTGCTTTTTTATCTGAAATATGTATACATTTCTAAGCAGTTTGAAGTATATAGACTGGTCCAGAGAAGTAGCTTTGAAGTCCTGGGCTATCCTAATATACTGGCCTCTGGCTACATACACCTTAAAGAGGAATTTCTTCTTGCATTAAGCTAATCAGGTTGATTAGGTGACTATAACTTCACACTCTTTTTTGTTCTCATTCTTAACATTTTTCTCTTTTTTAAAAATCAGGTGTTTTCTAAGGAAGAACTAAGGAAATTGCTACAGAAGTTAAGAGAATCCTCTCTAATGCTCCTAGACCAGGGACTTGATCCATTAGGATATGAAATTCAGTCATAATTCGTCTGCTGTTTGTAATCTCAATAATTTCCATGATAAATGGAAGTTTTTCTGTAAAATATATATATTTGTAATTACTGGGTTTTTTCTTTTGCCTTATGGGGAAAATGTGTATGAAATTTAGGCATTTAATTTTGTACTTTTAAGAATATTATGGTGACACTTTGAAAACTTAATGTATTATATAATTCCCTGTGTTTATTAATAAAACTATATAAAAACGAAAATTTTCTGTTCATATGAATTCCAGGAACGTCCCTCTATTATGTAATAAGAAATTAAATTTCCTATTATCCTTTTTCCCTGTGATCATAAGTACTCTGAAATCTTAAAGAGGATGGAAAGTAGATACATGTTTAAGCCAGGTATATAAGTCCTCATCATAAAATTTGGTGTTTTTTAAGTATTACAGTTAATTAGATGAACATAGCAAGAATGTTTTCTAAAATAACATTATGCTATTTTCTTTATTTTGATGACGTTTCTAGTTTATTTATTAACTCTCATTCAGCAAACCTGCTCTAAAATAAGTTGGAGCATGTAAAAACTTAGAATAGTATCTGGCACACAGCAAGCAGTGAATAAATTGGGGAATACACAGTGAGTAAGAGCTCATCTAAGCCCTTCCAGTAGGGGAAATACAATAAATATATTTTTAAATGCCATTTTAAAATACAAGTAATCCAAGCAGGGAGAAACTATTTCCAGCTAAGAGGTTTCTGAGGAAGTAGCATTTGATTTCCTAATCTGTATAAGCAAGGCCTACAAATGGTAAATGCATGTTTATGAATCAGCATTTATGTTGAATTGACTAGAGCTTAGGACTTATAAATGGGAGGTGACCAAAAGAGAGAATGTGACTCTAAGAGAAAACATGATGTAAATGGATTATAAACCTGAATATAAACGCTAAAACCATAAAACCTTTAAGAAAAATAGAGAATATCTTTGGGACCCAAGGGTAGGTAAAGATTTCCTATACAAGAGACAGAAAGCAATTACCATAAAGGAAAAAATTGATTACTCAGACCATCAAAATATAAAACTCTGCTCTTCAAAGACATTAAGAAAATAAGTAAGCCACAGACTGGGAGAAAATATTTGCAGAAGGATAACTGACCAAAAAATCTCGTGTCCAGCATATATAAAGAACTCTTATGCTTTTTTCCTTGAGCTTGCAGTCTTTGCTGCGATGCGTTTCTTGGGTGCCGCGTTCCTGTTCCTGGCACTCAGCGCCTCCACCCTGGCCGAGCCGGTGCATTTCAAGGACTGCGGTTCTGGGGTCGGAGTTATAAGGGAAGTGAATGTGAATCCATGCTCCACCCAACCCTGCCAACTGCACAAAGGACAGTCTTACAGTGTCAATGTCACGTTCACCAGTAGCACTGAGTCTCAAAGTAGCAAAGCCGTGGTACATGGCATTGTGATGGGCGTCGCAATTCCCTTTCCTATTCCTGAGCCTGACGGTTGTAAGAGTGGAATCAGCTGCCCCATTGAAAAAGACAAGACCTATAGCTACTTGAATAAACTACCCATGAAGAGTGAATACCCCTCTATAAAACTGGTGGTGGAGTGGGAACTTATGGATGACAACGACCAACGTCTCTTCTGCTGGCAAATCCCAGTACAGATTGAAAGCTAGAGCTATTTGATGCCAATATGTCCGTCTTGGGATGAGAGAGCATGGGTGGAGGGAGAGGAGGAGAGATCAAGTCTAAACTAAATCAGTGCCATAAGATGAAAGGAATTTCTAGACTGCCGTTCTAGCCTCTCAACCTCCAACATCATCTAAGACCCTATTTCCTGAGAGCTCAGAACTGTCGCCCCTGTATTATCCTTTGTAAAAGGGTTGAAGGAAGGAAGAGAAAGTGAGACTGTAGGGATTGATTTGTCTTCAGGGGGAGTTTTTTGTTTGTTGGTTTGGTTTGGTTTGCTTTTTGCTTTTGGAATAAGGAGGGTCTAACCAGACATGATCCAAATGAGGCTGCTTGGGGGATATTGGATAACTTGCCCTAGGGTTACTAGCCCTTGCAGCAAAGCACGGGTTCCAAACCACATCCATCTAGGTGGGATATTACATCTGCAAGTTCTTCATCTCCACATGCCTCGTTGAGTTCAGTGCATCTGGTCAATGAGCTTCCTCACATCCAGCTCCAATGCTTCACTGGCCATTACTTGCTCTACAGTGGTGTCCAGCGTGGTAGGGGAGAGGAGGTATTCTACAACAGAAATTCTCTGCAGTTAGCTCATGTCTCCTTTACTGTCTTAGGTGGTTTTCATTAAATGCATCACTTGATTAGCAAAAAAAAAAAAACAACTCTTACAACTCAATAATAAAAAGGCCAAAAAAAGAGCAGACAAAATAGTACAACAGATGATTCTTGAAGACATACCTAACCATGTGCCTGTGAAAAGTGCTCAAGTCAATGGTGAATGCAAATTAAAACCATGAGATACCACTATACATCCATCAGAATGGCTAAAATCAAAGACTAACAACCAAATGTTTGGGAGGATGTGGAGCAACTGGGACTGGGACATATTGCTGGGGAATGTAAAATGGTACGATCTTTGGGGAAAGTTTTGACTATTCTTGTGGATAACTGTATTTTATTGGCCTTCTCAAATATTCTATTATAAACAACCATCTACCCTTTAACCCAGAAGTTTCACTCAAATGCATAATGTTTAGAATAAGTAAAGTGATGTAACAACAGATGAAATAAATTGAAAATATGGTAGAATACCATATACAACTCTGAACAAGTATATTAGAACATCTAAGTAAAATGGACACTTTTCTAGGACGATGAAAAACCAAACATTGATTCAAAAAAAAAATCTGAATAGTTTACTAACCATGATGAGTATATGAGGGTTCATCATACTGTCTACTCTTCTGTATGTTTGGATTTTTAAAATAAAATGTCTAAAAATATGGTTTCAAGAAGTAATGCTTTCCCCTGTCTGGCGAGGGCTAAATTTGCTCAGCACCAACAATACCTAGCAAGTCGACTCAACCGACACAGAAAATACTAAACAAGAACGGGGTCCCAGACTGGCGCAGCCAGGTTTAGGTAACCCAGGAGGTAGTGGACCAAGGACGCAGCTCTCCGCACCCAGAGCTCAACGCGCCTGCGCAGGTAGAGGCCGCTTCCTGCACTGTTCAAGGGCGGAAGCGCGGGCTCCCCGAGTCACGTGGCCGAGGGCGGAAGGGGGCGGAGCGCGCGGGACGTGCTGCCGCGTAGTCGCCGGCTGAATGGGCGGTGGCAGAGCGTGTGTGATCCGCTGAGGCTGCAGCTTGCCTGGGACCCAGAGGTTGCATGCCTCTTCCCGGCCGGACCGTAAAGCCGGGGGCTGCGAGGACGCGGCGGCGGCGGCGGAGGAGGCAAAGGGCAGCTGGAGATAGGCCGGGCGCCCCTTGCCGAGGGTGAAGGGCCCCGGCTCCGCGGGGGTCATGGCAGCTCTGGCCGACAGAGTACGAGGCAGAGGGCGCATCGCCGCCGGGCTCCTGCTCAACCTACTGGTGTCCATCTGCATCGTGTTCCTCAACAAATGGATCTATGTCCACTACGGCTTCCCCAACATGAGCCTGACCCTGGTGCACTTCGTGGTAACTTGGCTGGGCTTGTACATCTGCCAGAAACTGGACATGTTTGCCCCCAAAAGTCTGTCGCCTTCCAAGCTCCTCCTCCTGGCCCTCAGCTTCTGTGGCTTCGTGGTCTTCACCAACTTATCTCTGCAGAACAACACCATAGGCACCTATCAGCTGGCCAAGGCCATGACCACGCCGGTGATCATAGTCATCCAGACCTTCTGCTATAAGAAAACCTTCTCCACCAAAATACAGCTCACGCTGGTGAGTAGCTTCAGCTGGGCGAGGCGCACCTCTTAACAACCCACCTCCTGGACCGTCTTTCTCCCCGGGAAATTTGAATGGTTAACTTTGCGCCACGCTCTTTCCCGTGATCTGGAAATCCACTCGAGTCCTTTGTGAGCAAGTGAACTTCAGGCTTATTTGGGGAAGGTGAAAAAAAGCCATCTTGGCGCTCTGTTGGGCTTTTAGCCCAGTAGAGTGTGCTTGTGTGAGTTTTAATAACTGCTGTTTGATGGAAATCCTTAAATGCTATGATCGGTAAGAAAAGAAAGCTGTGTTGGGTGATGCAAATCTGTTTGGGATTAAGTGCAAAAGCTCAAACTGAAAAACGTTTATGATAAACGTAAAATGTTAAGTCTCAGGATATGTTTGCGGCGACATACTGCAGAGGCTTCAGCGTCTTTAAATAAGATAGACTAAAATAATTTTAGCACTTTATAACTTACAGCATTTAAAATCTTAATGCTTTTGTTACATGTTTATGTTTATATATTGTTTAGACGCTGGTTTTGGAGTCCATTTACTACTATGTGCACGCATGTGGTATTTTCTTGCAAAGTGCAATGCATCGACTCATTTTACCCAGAATTTTAAATAGAATTAAATGTGAGCGTATAGAATTATCATATTTCATTTTGAAGAAATAGGATTACCAGTCCGTTTTTTTTCAAATGGAAAAAATATTTATAGAGGTTCATTGTTTCCTAATGATGTTTTTATGATTAACCTTTCAAGACACTGTGAAAGGAATACTAATTTTATGTCTCATAAATTTAATCTGAACAACGTTTACCTCTTTTTCTTTACAGATCCCTATAACTGTAGGTGTAATCCTAAATTCTTATTACGATGTGAAGTTTAATTTCCTTGGAACGGTGTTTGCTGCTCTTGGTGTTTTAGTTACATCCCTTTATCAAGTGGTTGGTAATTTTTTTTTTCTTTATGTGCCCTTTTTAGCAGATTTCATAAATTTTGAAGCTGTGCCCCAAGGTTTAGACAATACAGTATAGAGACAATAGACTGTTGGGAAGAAAGCATAATGCATAAATTGTCTGACTCAAGGTGAAGAGAAGAAAGGAGACAGAGAAACTTGGGTGTATGATGCTCACCAAGTACCTCCCTACCTGTTTGTAAGTGTATATTACCCATGCTTAACAGTCTGAGTTTGGGGTGATGGTATATTATTTTCTGGGAAATCTTTACAAAATGAATAGTAAGACTTTTTACTTGAGGATTGAGTCCATTGGTTGTATTTACCATTTACTCTTTAATTATGACATTACTGTGAAGGAGTTAGTACAGGTGCAAAAATTTGAACAGAAAAGGAAAATTTGAGATTTATAAATCTTTGCCTCAGAAGATATGCTGCTGTTACAGCTTGTATATTCTAATCATTTTTCTCCGTCAATATTTTATAGCAATGGGTATTTCACTTCTTGCACTAGCGCGGTGACTTGCCTGTAACAGCCATTTATTTGACATTTGTTCATGGATTCACTTACTTCATTACCATAAAATCTCAACAAGTATTTTTGTTTGTTTCTTATATATTGGAGAAAAGAATAGTGAATGGCTAAGGGTACAGTGAAACAGTGTTTTCTCTGTACTGAAAACCTTGGACTGGAAATTGTGGTTTCCAGTGCCTGCGTATGGGGAATCAGAGCCAAAATGTGTGACCAATTTTACTTTTTTCACAAACATCCACTGGTTATAAACTAAGGCATTCTTGTTATGAATGTTAGGAGTTTAATAATACAGCCTTAGCATCTTAAATTTTCTAGTACTGGTCATTTCAGAAACATTGTTATGTGAAAATTCTGGGGTTGAATACATTTCTTAGTGGCAGAGAAGCAGTTTAAATGAAAGAGAGCAGTGACATGAGAGGGTGGGGCACCCACTCAATCTTGTCACTTGGCCTCAAGATATTCTGCCTTTTACTGCAGAGAGAAATCAGAGGAAGCTCAGGTTTCTGCTTTAAGAAAATTGCATTTGGGCATACTTCAGTGAGTTTAAATTTAAATTTTTTAATTATATACAGTAAGTGAACATTCCTATTTCTCTTTTTTGTTAAATGGACTTTACTTTTGACCCAGTATGGATTAATTATTTATTAGATATAGCAAGAAATTTTATTTGTTGAGCGTTAGAATTTCTTGTATTCCTTACACATCACTTCAATTCATAGTACTCACTGCCCATGCCAATATGACCGTTTTTGTTCACACAAGTTTCAACATTGCTATAGGGTGGAATCAAAGGATTCTGTATCTCTCAGGTAGATATTTGAAATGAGATTGACCAAGGAATGATTGTAGACTAAGTCATGGGCAGAGTTTTTGATGATCAGTAAATGGTAAAAGTACTGGTACAGAATAGGTGTATTCCCTCCCAAAATTCATTTTAAGGAAAGTTGTATTTTCCCATTGTAACCTGGTATAATTTCTAAGTTATTTCTTCTTATACTGCTAGGGCATTAAAAGGAATTAAGAGATGAGGGACCAACTATTAGTTTTAGTGGTAGGAAGATGGTTGACTCCTTCATTCATTCAAAAGACTTTCTTCTGCTTTATGCTCAACCTTGATACAAAGATAAAGGGCAGCTATAATCCAGCATTGCAGAAACACATGGAGACAGCTAATAACAAGTAGTATAGCTCAGAGTATGAGGAAAGTTCTGAGGAGCACCAGGGAAGAAGGGGTAGTTCTGCACGAGGGCGGTAGTGAGGTAAGATTTTATGGGAAGGTTAACAATTGAAATTGAAGAATGCACAGGAATTCGCTTAGCAAAGAAATAGAGCAGAGGTCTTTCTTTGCAGTGATGTGTGAAAGTACAGAGCATTTTTGGAGAACTTGATTTGTTTGGTGGGACTGGACTGTAGTTGCGTGGTGGAAAGACAAGGCTGAGGGGTGGGTGAGACCAGATGGCAGAGTTTTGAGTGTTATGCTAAGGAAGTGTGCCCTTTATCCTGCAGGTACCAGGAGAGGAGTTCAGATGGGCAGTGACTTGATCACTCCCTGTGTTTTAGAAACTTCACTCTGGTGGCAGTGAAGGGTGAATAAGAGGCACGACAGGGTGACAGGCAGAGCAGTCAGGAAGTGCTCCATGGTTTAAGGGGAAGACAGGAAGGGCCTGAACAAGGACAGTGGTACTGGATGTGGAAAGGAAAGAACAGACTTCAGAGACCTTTTGGAGAAAGAATGAGTAGGACCTGACTGAATGTGAGAATGAGGAAAATAAGGAGTCTGAGCCTTGGAGGAGATTATATCATTAACTATCGGACCAACACAGGAGGAGCTAATTTGGAGAAGGAATTAATCCGCTTAATCTTAAACAAGCTCCTTCAGGTGATATAACTGAAGATGGCCAGTAAGCTGTTTGTTGAAGGTGGGACTTAAAGAATGCTCAAGGAAGGAGGTCAGAGCTGTAGATGTCAGTGGATAGTAAAAGATCAGTCAGGGAGATAAAAGAGGAAAGCCAGACATCTCCCTTACAGATAGTAGGTGAAGGAACAGGTGAGTGAGGAAGCAGCACAAACCAGAAGTCAGGTTCTTCCAAGAGAAAAATCTGCAGGTTCTGCAGACGGCTGCGGCCGGAAGGGGGCCGAGGGCAGCCCTTCGATGTGGCCACTAGAGGTGAAGGTGCCCTTTTGGGGAGCAGTTTCACGAGACGGTTGGTGGGCAGAAGCCAGGCTGCACGGCAGTGAGGGCAGGTGGTGGCCTGAGAGTCACCACCATTCCAGGCTGTCTGTCCTGTGTCAGAGACACACAGCTGCCCAGAGAGGCTGCTGGAGCAACACAGGGCTGTGCACATACCCTCTGCATTCATTTTTGCTTACTGCGGTGTCCCAAGCAAAAGAATCAATTCTTTGTCCTTCATGTTCACAGCAGACTCTTATTAAGGCTGACAGGAGTATGCTTCATATTTCTTGCTCTTCTATTTTTGTCTTGGTGAATTTCTATAGACTTAGAGTTTATGTAACAGGATACCCGGACCTACAGGAAAGAGGATTATGTAGGAGCAGTTATTCAAAAGCCTGGCTGTTCCTGCCAGATCTTATTCAGACAGTCCTATCAAGCTTTCTTTAAAGCCTCCTTTTCAGTTATATTTGCGAAGCATTTTGAGAACTGATGGGATTTGAGGCTTTGGGGTGTTGGTTCTACCGAAGGATAGTCTTTTAAAGTTTGTGATTATCTAGTTTATTGAGGAGTATTGGTGTGGGATTACCCACTGAAACGTCAGCCATAAAGAGGAAAATTTCTTCTACCATCGATTGGGTTTTCTGAAGTGAATGAAAAGACCTCACATACCTTTCTAGCCACACATATTGGCAGCCACCTGGGATAACTGAGGTTTCTGTCAATCTGTAATTAGAGTCCGCCCTGCCCCCTAGTCTTCGTTTCGGGGGCTATTTTTAGAAAGAAATGAAGTCTGACACTGCATCTGTATTCCTGCTTATCCTGCTTATAAGTATTACCCTGCTTAGAAATTTCCGTTCCTGCCTAGTTTTCCCAAGATCGCTGATGCCTGTGGGCCCCGGTATGCATTGACTTCCCCCATTTACTCAGATCAGGAGGGAAGAGAGGATTTTTTTCTCCTTTATAATTGAGAAGAAAATAGATTATCAGACATTGAATTTATAAAGCTCTTTTCATCCAGGGAGCTTAATATAATATACATATATATTATTGATCTTTGAAATCTTATAGACTCATTAGGCATTTCCTCTCCCCCCCGCCCCCGCCCTGCCTCACATTCCCACATTTGTGGCTAGAGTTGCATCTTTTGTTTGTTGAGTGATGCTATTTTTTTCTGCCTAACTCGTTCTCTCTCCTAATTTTCAGTGGGTAGGAGCCAAACAGCATGAATTGCAAGTAAACTCGATGCAGCTGCTGTACTACCAGGCCCCGATGTCATCTGCCATGTTGCTGGTCGCCGTGCCCTTCTTTGAGCCGGTGTTCGCAGAAGGAGGAATATTTGGTCCCTGGTCAGTCTCTGCTTTGGTAAGTTATAATTGTTTTGGTGTCTAAGAAACAAGATAATAATAATTTCTCCATTATTAATGCAATTTTTAGTTTTCAGAGCACTAGCTCAGATCCATTCTCACATTTAGTCTTTATAATCACCCTTTAAGGGAGGCAAGGTAAGGATTATTCATTAGATGAAGAAACAGAAAGATTGGCACAGAAAGATTGAGGGACTTTCTTAGGGTTAAATTGCCAGTCAGTGGCCAAACCAAACCAGGACTAGAATTCAGGTCTTCTGATGTCTGGTTACTGTGCTGAGCCCACCAGGCTATTGCCCACCGATACTTTGGGCATTTTTTTTTTTTTTAAATAATGAAAATATAACTTTGTTGATTTTCTTGTAATAGTATAAGTAGTACATGCTCATTGTATGCATTTTTGAACATACATAAAATTATAAAGTGAAGGTCTCCCCAAATCCTGCCACACTAAGATAAACACCTTTACCGTTTTGGTAATGATCATTTCATGGATCTCTTTCATATACAGAGACACACGCATGTGTGTGGATGTTTAATTTCATATGTATGTAACCGTATTATATATGCTGGGTTTTTGGGAGGTTTTTTTGTGGCTGCGCCGCATGGCATGTGGGATGTTAGTTCCCCTACCAGGGATCGAACCTGTGCCCCCTGCAGGGGAAGCGTGGAGTCCTAACCACTGGACTGCCAGGGAATTCCCTATATATGCAGCTTTTATCATGGATTCCTTTTCCTCAGCCCTCCTACCCATACACACATCAACATCCCATTACCTCACCCCTGCCCCTTGAAATAAGTCATGTTAACATTCTAGTGTTTGTTCTTCCGTGTTTTTCTCCGTGCTGTGCATACCCACATGTAAACACATACAACATACACAGGCACACATGCACATATGTACACATAAATTGCACATTGGTTTTTTTACAGAAGTGGGATCATATTACACATGATTTTTTGTATCTTGCTTTTCTCACTTAACAATGTCCCATGAAAATCCCTTCAAATCATTCTTTCAGTACGTGTATGATAGTTCCAGTTCCTAACCACTATGAACAGTATTACAGTAAACATCCTTGTACATGTGTCCTCATGAACTGGTACTTTTTATTCTATGGGATAGAGTCCTAGAGTGGAATTGCCAGATCAAAGGGACCTGTACTTTGGGGACATTTTTTTAATAAAGTTAGAAAGTATAATCCCCCTATTTAGGAAAGGAACTTATGCTTCCCATACTTTTAACACAGTCAGTGGGAACGTCTTTTTTGCTGGTGATGTTGATTTATCAAACTTGCATAGCCCTTACTCTGCTCCAGGCACTATTCTAAACTCTTTGCAAATATTAACTTATTTGATCCTCATAACAACTTCATTAGGTGTTTACGGATGAGGAAACTGAGAGACAAAGCGTTAAGTAACTGACTCAAGGTCCACAGCAGAGCCAGATTTTGAATCCATGCATTCCAGATCCAAAGTCCACATTCTTAACCACCCTGCGAGGCTGCCTGTGAGCAGGTTGATAGTTGTTTCGAATTCATATACTTTAGCATTTGCGCTTTTTTCCCAAGGCAGAAATCACTGGACCATCTCTCAGGTAATATCTCCTCTTACTTTTACAAAAGTTACCCATCTTGGTCATCTTGCCTATCAACCACTGCAGCTTGAGCACCATAGACTAGGAGGGGAGAGGCTTTATGTGACTGGCCCTCTGACAGATTTGAAAACAGGACTTCAGCAGAAAGGCCATAAAAAAGGTCAAAGAAACAAGAGCACAGCAGTCTGAGGCCATTGAGTAAGGGAAAGTCACCTGCATTCCTTCTTGTCCCTAGAGGGCATCATTGCCTCAAAGTAGAGCATGTAATTGTGTTTTTAATGATGTGCCAGGTCATCAAGAAATAGGCATGTGACATTCTGTGAACTCAATAACATTAACAAGGACACATTTCTAGAAACAGTTTTTAAAATCTTTAAGGAGCAAGTTTCTCTTAGTTGAAAATTTAATGGAACTCACTGTTGTAAAACAAATAAGGTGTTACTATTTCTACCTAAATAGGCTGCAAATCCAATTGGCCTGGTCTTCTTCTGACTGCACTGATTTAAAAACTGAGAAAACCCACATGGGACAGAAAGAATCTTCAAATATGACATTTTCTTTGGAATTTAAACTTCTTACTAATTCAAATTGTAACTGATATTTTCTCTAGATTCTCTTATTTCAGAAATAGAAAATGGTTTTATAACTTTTAAAATGAAATTGTGGGATACGTTTGGACAGAATGTTGTATGTGTATACAGTAGTACAGCCGCTTTGGTCCCCCCATCTCAGCCAAGTCAGTTAACTCGCCATCCCATGCACACACCTGGGCTTTCACGCCTCCATGCTTTGACCCATACTGTTTCCTGCCCCTGTTATTTCTTTCTCTAATCAAAACATGCATTTGAAATCCAAAGACTGTTCTTGCCGCAGCCCAGAAGGACATCTCCTGTCTAGAGTCCTACAGAACCTATCGTCTGTTTGCCTATTAACGAGGTAGAGCTCAGGACTGATTTTCTTTTCTTGTCTGAGCTGTTCATCTTGTATTGCACTCTGTCTTTCATGTGGTTAAGAGGTAGCATGGCAGAGCAGGTTAGGAACAGGAACTCCAGTACCTTGGCCCTTCTTACTGGTTGTGTGTCTTAGGCAAGTTGCTTTACCTCTCTGTGCTCTGTTTTCTTGTCTGTAAAAAGGGAAGATATTTTACTCCCTCATGGCTGTTTGCAATGATTAAATGAGTTAATATATGTAAAATATTTAGAACAATTCTTGGTGCATAATAAGTACTATATAAGTATAAGCTATGATTATCAAGATTTTTATCATGTGCTCAAGTGGTTTCTAAGATCTTTGAGGGCAGGAACCCACTGTGTTCCTTACAAGGCCTGGCCTAGTTTTATAGATACCTGATGAAAGCCTACTGATTGAATTTAAACAAGAATAAATATGAACAATTCAATGGAAAAAAGATCTGGAAGGATATATACCAACGTATTAATAGTGGTGAGTGGTTGGGATTTAAAGAATTCCTTATGAGTTCTCTTCACAAGGAAAAAAACTTTTTTTCTATTTATTTTTCTATTATTTAATTTTGTATGCACATGAGATGATGGATGTTCTCTAAACTTGCTGTGGTAATCATTTCATAGTGTGTGTAAATTAAATCATGATGCTGTACACCTTAAACTTACACAGTGCTGTATGTCAGTTATATCTCAATAAAACTAGAAGGAAAAAAAGAATTCTTGATATTCTTCTTGCTCATCTTTATTGTCTGGTTTTTCTGTAATGAATATATATTACTTTTATAATAAGAAATTATTACAAAATAATTTTTCTTTGGATAGATAAGAAAAATGAATCTGGAGATTTACGTTCAGAGGCAGGATATTGTTGGAGAATTTTCCACTGCATTTTGTAGACAAAATTACATTTGTGAATACTACTCTTTCTGCTCTTTAACCCTCAGTTCTTGCTATCTCCCAACTTGATTCTCTCTTTTTAAAAATCTTGTTTTTAATGATTGATAGAAGTGCCTGATGAAGTGTATTTTCACTTGATGATTGCAATGATTGCAGCTGCTTTGCATTAATGATTCTTTTGGTTTATTTGTAGCTGATGGTCCTGCTCTCTGGAGTAATAGCTTTCATGGTGAACTTATCGATTTATTGGATCATTGGGAACACTTCACCAATCACGTATCCTTTTCCTAACAACTTACAAATGCATAGTCTTTTATATTCTCCAAAACTCTGTCACATTGATTTCCTTATTTGAGTCTCACACTTTCTATTGCATGGCCTAAATTGAGTAGAGTGAGTTATTTTTAGTCTCTTACTAGAGTCTGTGGAAATTTAAAGAACTGTGAACTGGGGAAATGGGTTAGCTTTCTGTATGATAAATGCTTTTGAATTTTCTTAAGGAATAGGTGACCTTTTCCCTTATCAGAATTAACATAGAGCACCATTCCTTGTGCATAGTGGGGTTAAATAAATATTTGTTGAGTGAATAATGGGGTGGATACTTATGTTTTCCATCACTTTTCAGTTCTCGATAGTTCGATAATAATAAGGTAAAGGTGTGGTTAATCCAAATAACAGAAAATAATTTCAGACCAGTTGCTCTGACTTTTGAGCTTGTTTTTGTACTTGTCTGGCTATGGGTGTGCCTGCTTTTCTCAATATTACTTCAAATCAAGAAGTGGAGTCATGACTTGAATGTCTGAATCAAACTCAACTGCCCATTTTTAACATTTTGCTTTTAATGAGTGAACACCGAGATGTCAACAAAGTAAAAAAGCAGCATATTTGCCAACTATCAGTAAATAACAGTGATAATAATAATAATTTTTTTAAAAAAACAATACCTGGGGACTTCCCTGGTGGCACATTGGTTATGACTGTGCTCCCGATGCAGGGGGCTCGGGTTCGATCCTTGGTCCAGGAACTAGGTCCCACATGCCACAACTAAGAGTTTGCATGCCACAACTAAGGAGCCCACATGCCGCAACTAAGGAGTCGGTGCAACCAAATAAATAAATAATTTTTTTTTAAATTTATTTATTTATTTAGTTATTTTTGGCTGCGTTGGGTCTTTGTTGCTGTGCGCGGGCTTTTTTCCAGTTGCGGCGAGCAGGGGCTACTCTTCCTTGCAGTGCGCAGACTTCTCATTGTGGTGGCTTCTCTTGTTGCGGAGCACGGGCTCTAGGCGCGTGGGCTTCATTAGTTGTGGCACGTGGTCTCAGTAGTTGTGGCTCACGGACTCTAGAGCGCAGGCTCAGTAGTTGTGGCGCACGGGCTTAGTTGCTCTGTGGCATGTGGGATATTTCCGGACCAGGGCTCGAACCCATGTCCCCTGCATTGGCAGGTGGATTCTTAACCACTGCGCCACCAGGGAAGCCCAATAAATATTTTTTAAAAATTAAAAAATAAACAACACTTAATAAATGTTTATTTTGTGTCAGGCACTGTTCCAAACATCTTGTGTGTATTAAGCATTTAGTTTTTACAGCAGCTCGAAGAGATAAATTCTATTATTTTATTCTACAGAAGAGGAAATAGAGGGACAGAGAGGTTGAATAACTCGCTTTTCCTTTTTTTTTTTTTAATTAATTAATTTATTTATTTTTGGCTGCGCTGGGTCTTCATTGCTGCGCGCGGGCTTTCTTTAGTTGTGCTGAGCGCGGGCAACTCTTCCTTGCAGTGCGCAGACTTCTCATTGTGGTGGCTTCTCTTGTTGCGGAGCACGGGCTCTAGGCGCGTGGGCTTCATTAGTTGTGGCACGTGGTCTCAGTAGTTGTGGCTCACGGACTCTAGAGCGCAGGCTCAGTAGTTGTGGCGCACGGGCTTAGTTGCTCTGTGGCATGTGGGATATTTCCGGACCAGGGCTCGAACCCATGTCCCCTGCATTGGCAGGTGGATTCTTAACCACTGCGCCACCAGGGAAGCCCAATAAATATTTTTTAAAAATTAAAAAATAAACAACACTTAATAAATGTTTATTTTGTGTCAGGCACTGTTCCAAACATCTTGTGTGTATTAAGCATTTAGTTTTTACAGCAGCTCGAAGAGATAAATTCTATTATTTTATTCTACAGAAGAGGAAATAGAGGGACAGAGAGGTTGAATAACTCACTTGGAGTTACCCAGCTGAGAAGTGTGGTGTCCAGATTTGAGCCCAGGTAGTCTAGCCCCAGGATTTATGCACCATGCTGCCAGATCAAGGCATCCAAGTATGTGCCCTGATTAAGAGCATCCATTCATTCAGTCAACAAATATTTATTGAATGTCCCCTATAAACTGTTCTTTGACTTAATAAATATTCACATACTGAATATCTGCTGTCTGTCAGGCACTGGAAATATAGTAGTGAACCGAAGAAGCAAAAATCTTTGCTCTCACAGGCTTAAATTCTGGGGAGGAAGACAGGCTATAAACAAGAAAAATAAGAAATGGGCATATACAGGGCTAGATTGTGTTAAGTGATAAGGAGAAAAAGGTTAAGCAGGAAAGGGGATGTGAAATGTTGGGGACAGGGTTGCAGTTTTACGGAGGGTAGTCGGGAAGGCCTCAGCAAGACGGGTACTTTTGAGTAAAGACCTGAAGGAAGTGAGGTTGCTCTGTGCAGAGCAGGATGGGTAGCGTTCCAGGCAGAGGGGACAGCAGGTGAGAGGCTGGAAGGAACAAGAAACCTGTGTGGCTGGAGCGGGAAGAACAAAGGGTGGGTTCTTTGTCCCTGAAGAGTAACAGGGGGCCTGACTGAGCAGAACTTTCACACGAGGACTCCTACACCAAGTGAGAAGGGACGGCGTTGGAGTTTTGAACAGAGAAATGCCATGATTTTCTGTCTGTTCTAATAGGATCCTTCTGGGCTACTGTGTTGAGAACAGACCAGGGGGGCTTTTCAACTTCAGTGCTATTGGCCTTTTTGGTCCAGTGGACAGGCCTGTCCTCTCCATTGGAGTATGTTTAGCAGCTTCTCTGGCCTCTACCCACTAGACGCCAGTAGCATCCCTTTCCCCAATTATGAAAACCAAAACTGTGTCCAGACCTTGCCCAGGTGACAAAATCACCCCTGGTTGGGAACCACTGTACTGAAAGCGGCAAGAGAAGAAGAGAAACCATCAGGAAGCCATGGTGGTTTGGTACCAGGGCAGTCGCAGTGGATATAGTGAGAAGTGATTGGGTTCTGGATATATGTTCAAGTAGAGCCAGCAGGTTTTATTGGCAGACTGGATGTGGAGAATGAGAGAGGAAAGAAGGTTGCCACCTGGTTTGGGCCTGAGCACCTGGCAGGGTGGAGTTGCCATGGACTGAAACAGGACAGCCCCCAGCGGGGGTGGGGAGGAAGACCAAGTGCTCAGTTTTGGGTAAAACGAGTCTGAGTTCAAGGTCGAGGTCTCGGCTGGAGGTATTCCGGAGAGAGTCAGTAGTGTGTAGATATGGTTTGAAGCAGTGAGCCTGGCTGAGATTACCAAGCAAGTGGAAGAAAAAGAGGCGCCCAAAGACCGAGTCCTGGGTCACCTCGGTGTTTAGAGTTTGGAGAGATGACAGGAGCCAGGCAGAAGGGGCAGAGAAGGAGCGATCAAGGTGGAAGGAAGGAGGACAGGGTGTAGAAGCCAAGTGAGGAGGAAGGGGAGTCAGCTGTGTCCAAGGCCGCTGACAGGTCAAGCTCGAGGAAGGCTGGAAAGGGATGGAGGAGGGGGTGTGGTGAGGTGGAGGGCACTGACGGTTTTGACGAGAACTTCAGCGTGTCCAGGTGGAAGCTGACCGGAGCAGAGTGGAGAATTAGAGAGAGGAATTGGAGATGTCGGGTATAGATTGCACCTGTTTTGTTTTGTGTTATTTTTCTAATTTACCAAAGGATTCACTGAAGCATTTCTTTAAATTTGCCTTTCCTCTCGTGTACATATTGTTAACAGATCATGCGCACTTCAAAGCGAGGCTGAGGAGTAAGGAAATGCTGAAGTGCGGGAGCCGGTTCACTTGAAGATATTAGCTCGTAATTGAAGCCTGCTTTATTACGGTTATAATTAACGTCCTCGGGAAGGTCCTCCATCCCGCAGGAAAATGACCCTTCTTGGGTCGGGCCAGCACAGGTACCCTGGTGACTCAGCCCGTGCTCTCCTGCCCGGAAGCAACTTCCAAGCTGCTTAGTTGGGCTCAGAACAGAGGAGGGAGCCTGGGCTTTGAGGTCGGACAGGGCCAGGTGTGCCAGCCCGGCCCCACCGCTGCCTGTGGGCCTGTGTGACTTGTGGGAGATCTCGGGTCTCACTCTCATCACTTATGAAACGGGGGTTGTGGTGCCTACAGAGTTGGGTGAGTGCTTGAGAGAATGTGTCCGGCACCTGGCAGGTGTTTATTATGCGTAAGTACTGCCGTTGATAGCTGACCCATAGGGTGCTTACTGGGTGCTCGAAGCCTCGCGTATATTAGCTTAGTTAATCCTCACAATGATGCTGAGGCACAGAGTGGTAGCTCTTTCTAGTACTGTTTTTAGGAAGAGTAGATGGGTACATATCAGACATCTGAAAAATAATAAAGTACTAATCCATATATAAAAAACTATTTAAAATACAGGAAGAGAATAATTTATAAAGGAACCATTTGTGTGTCTTTAGTTTGTCTTTTAAATGAACAGTGATTTAGAAACACCCTAATCCAGCAGCAAGTTACTGGCAGTCTGCTCGTCTCAAACATGGACTTTGGAGTTAAATAGACCCATCTATGTTTGGCCTCTGGCTCTGCCGCTTAGTAACTCTGTGATCTAAGTTACTTAAAATCCTCAAGCCTCTACAGTTGTAGATGGGAGGAGTGATACCACAGTGAAGGGAAATGTGATGCTTAAATAAAATGGTGTTATATATGCACCTGGCGTAGTGCCTGGCATGTATTGGTGCTCAGTGGTGTTCCATCCCCTGTCCCCGATTCCCTCTTAAACTTAAGCACGCCGGCTGTGTTGACCTTGTGTCAGCCATCTGGCGCCTTTCACGTCTCACCGTATTTGCCAAGGGAAGTTTAGAAATGGCGCCATGAAACAGCATCACAAATTGCTCTACAAAAGACTTTCTCTGTACCTTGTTCTGAATCCCTTCCCCACCCTTGTACTGCAGCCCCTTTTATCTTCTTTGGAGAGGTCAACAGGGAGAGTTGAGGCAGTCTCCTGTCACTGATTAATTGCTAAAACCTACCTGAAGAAGCTAGGATCAAGCCAGCACTTCACTGAAGTTCCTGTTCTTTAGACGGGGTGGGAGGCGGGGTGATGGGGGCGGGGGTGGGGCCGCTGTTTAGTCTGCTTTTCGTGCACTTCTCTCCAGGCACAGGAAGCTTTTGCTTCATGGTGTGTGTGTGTGTTTGTGTGAATATAACATCTGGCTTGTTCTTTTTTATCCTTATCCAAAAACCTCAGCTATAACATGTTTGGACACTTCAAGTTCTGCATTACTTTATTTGGAGGATATGTTTTATTTAAGGATCCATTGTCCATTAATCAGGGTCTTGGCATGTTATGTACACTATTTGGCATTCTTGCCTATACCCATATTAAACTCAGTGAACAGGAAGGAAGTAAGAGTAAATTGATGCAACGTCCTTAATTAGGTTTTCATAGAGAAAAGAAAGTCGCCTGAAGAAGATAAAAAAAAAGTATTAAGTGTGCAAGTTACTTTCAAAGATGAAACAAAAATTATATTGCAAAATACATTAAATGGTGGTTTGAAAGAAGTCAATAAGCAAAGGAAATTTTATTCATAAATATGACTTTCTTGGCACTTACCTGGTGGTCCAGTGGTTGGGACTCCACGCTTTCACTGCCAAGGGTGCAGGTTCGATCCCTGGTCAGGGAACTAAGATCACACAAGCCGTGTGGCACAGCCAAAAATTTAAAAAAATTTTAAGTAAAAATAAAATAAAATAAATATGACTTTCTCTTTTAGAGTACCTTCTTTAAAAAACGTAATTCTCGGGCTTCCCTGGTGGCACAGTGGTTGGGAATCTGCCTGCCAATGCGGGGGACGTGGGTTTGAGCCCTGGTCTGGGAGGATCCCACGTGCCGTGGAGCAACTAGGCCCATGAGCCACGACTACTGAGCCTGCGCGTCTGAGGCCTGTGCTCCACAACGGGAGAGGCCGTGACAGTGAGACGCCCGCGCACCGCGATGAAGAGTGGCCTCCGCTCGCTGCAACTGGAGAAAGCCCTCGCACAAACGAAGACCCAACACAGCCAAAAATAAATAAATAAATTTATTTAAAAAAAAAAACAAAAACGTAATTCTCTAAAACATGGCTCATGCTTCTTTTCAAAGATAATTCTATGAAGTACACAGAATGTTTAAGTACATGAAATTAAAGTTCTGTAATGGTGACAAAGGAAGTCAGATCACTGTGCTACACACGTGTAGTGGTTTTTAAGGAAGGACACATAGGACTCCTCTGCGTGCTCTTAGGTGGTCCCCAGTGTGAGCCCAGTTATAATTTAGGCCAAAGTAGTCAAGTCAGAATTTAAAGCTAGCATTTCTATTGATATTTTAGTTGTTTTAGTATAACTTCCTGCTTTTTTCATTTATAGATATGAAATAACATTTCTAGAAAGCAAAGTGTAGTAAAGGGGACCATAAGCCAAAATCCAGTTCTAAAAGTACCATGTCTCTAGTAGAAAATTGATGTAAGAAGTTAGATGTTATCAAAAAACTACAGTTTCTGTAGGTATTCTCTTGTTTTGAGCTCTCGGTGAACTCTAGAAACTATACATGAAGTTAAAAAACAGAAAGCTCCATGTTTAAATGGCTCAAAGAAAAGACTACGGGAGGAATTGAGCAGGTTTCTTCTTATCCTGGTGACTGTTCTTCTGGCCTTGTTGAGCATTTCATGTTGGTAATTTCTTAAGACTACCTTCCTACTGTCATTCCCTACCCGCCACGTGTGAGGCATCCGCGGAGCTTTCTTTGGCACTGAAGGATTTGGAGTGAACTATGTCAGCCTTTCTAAGGGGGCTGAGGAAAATCCTTGAGCAGCAAGTCAAGGCAAATGTTCTCAAAGACTAAGCAGAAGCTTGATGAAGATACGAGGAAAGATTTGAGAGAGAAGTAGAGAAACAGTCAATATTTAACAAGTTCCATGAGTTTTTTTAAAGATAATTTAAAAAAATGTTATAGGGGAAATACATGATACTTAAGGAAATAATTGTGCCACCTATTTAATTGCAAAATCTATTTCTGCCTTCCAACTTTTGACATTTGAGAATTCAAAGCAGTTGTTGATAACCTCTCACCATAAATTGACTGAAACAGGTAGTCCCTCTTGTAATAAATAATTCTTTTTCTAAACATTGTTTAGAAACTTCAGGTGAGAACACAACACTTAGGAGGACAAAGAGCCACGTGTATAAAATATGCCGTTTAGGATTATTTTTTTCCTGGCCTGTTTGAAGTGAAAAGCCTCACTGAAAATCATTTTGACAGAATTTCAATGTATCAGTCAATCTGTTGTGTGATTTTTATGTGTGGTTTTCTGTTTTTAATTTAAATACTTTTGGTTCTTCTCTGTTTCCAAAGATACATTTTATTGTGCTAAGAAATACAAAGCAGATTGTCTTGCCAGATGGACCTCAGGAGTTATGTTTGTCTAAGAAGTGTTCTCTGTGTATGTTTAACATATAATTATTTCCCCCAAGCTGGAGAAAAGTATTTCAGAGGATTATGTGACTTCTGTGCACTAACAGCTGAGTTGATTTGTGCCATGTACAAATTCTTCTTAACTGTAAATACAACTTGGGGAGGGGATTTATAATAAATGTTGGGGGAGAGTTATAATAAATGACTGATGTCAATAGGAATGCAAGGAAGGTTAGAGCAAGACAGCATGGGAGGGTATGTATTTATAAGTGAATAAAATATGTACTCCTGGAACTAGAGTCTGATAAACAGTTTTTGCCCTGAAGACCATCTTCCCATTGAAAAGGAAATTCCTGGGGGAAAAATGTACCAGACCATAGGACCAACCATAGAGACAAACCAGAAATGCAGTGCTATGGAAGAAAGCATGCTGGCTGTCCTTTTGTTACGGATGTAACTGCACTTGTTTTTTATTGTATATTCGATGACTGGACTTCAGCTGTTACCTGTTATAAATAAAGAGAACCTGATGTTTTTACTTTCAAGTCGCATGTTAGGACCAGCAGAAGGATGGCATCTGTGTATATGCAGGGGTAACAGTGGCCTGTCCAGCCCCCAAATATGCAACATCTAATGAAACAAAATCCTCATCTCCGTTTTAAAATAACATAAAGGAAAAATCTTTTTCTATGAAATGAAGCAAGCTTTTTCCTGTTGCATTTTTAAAAATACTTTTTAAATCTTGCTAGTTTCAAATCAGTGGTCATCTTTTCTAAAAAAATCTACTTAAAAGCAACAGCACTAATCAACACTCCACATTGACCCCATTGGTGAATAGTTGTTGGGTGAATGAATATGCAGAATGGCCAAAGGAGAAAGTCTGATTAAACGAATGAAGACCAGATTTATTAGATAGATTCTGTTTTGCATTTCTGTTTCCAAACTTGAACTGGATTATACTTGCTAACATCAGGAATACAATGATCATTTCATTCATTCAACAAGTTTTATTGAACATATATTTTGTGCCAAATACTGTGCTAGGCACTGTGCAAAGACACTCCTGTGTTCCCTGTGATCTTAAGAAACATTGGTCTAGCAGAAAAGATAGACATTAATTAAATTAAAATGCGAGTTTATTATTACAAACTCAAATAGTAAAAGGAACATGGTTCTCTGGAGCATGTGACAAAAGAATCTGGCCCAGGATTGGCTGTCAGCAAAGGTGTCCACGAGGAAAGGACAACTCAACTGAAATCTGATGGGCATATAGAAGTTAGCTAAGCAAAGAGGGGGATTGCATTCTGATAAAAGGGAATAGCACGTACAAAGGCCCATTGGTTGGAGGAGTTTATGATGAGTTTAAAGAACTGCAAAAAGGATGGAGCATAGCGGCTACGTTTAGGGAAGGGGAAATGTGGTATGACACGAGACTGGAAAGGAAGACCAGCCTCGGACCATAGAATACCTTGTAGGCATTGTTAGGCATCCAGTAAGAGCAAGAAGGGAGTGTTCTGAACATCATCACGGTCGACCCCTTCGTTTTGAAACAGTTGGAAGAGAACCAGAGAGATGCTAGGAGACGTGATAGTTTGAAGGGGTGGTGGTGAGATGATGGAGTGGGTAGATGAAGAAGATTTAGTAGATGGGATCCAGTAGACTTGAGATGGATTGGAAATGGAGGGCATGGGAGGGGATGAAGTTCAGAATCACACGTGTTTGATTTGGGCAGCTCGATAGAGGATGGCGCCACTCTCTGAGGTAGGAAACACGAGAAGACGGTTGGGGTGGGGAGGATGGAGCCCGAGTTCCTACATAGCCATCTCGATTTTGAGGCATCTTTGAGAAATCCAATTATTAATCAAGTAATCAAATATACAGGTCAAGAAGTCAGGAGTGTTTTCTTTTTAATTGAGGTATAGTTGATTTACAATATTAGTTTCAGGTTTACAGCTTGGTGATTCAGTATTTTTACAGATTATATTCCATTAAAAGTTATTACAAGGTTATAGCTATAATTCCCTGTGTTATACAATATACCCTTGTTGCTTATCTATTTTATACATAGTAGTTTGTTTCTTTTAATCCCATACCCCTAAGGAGCTCCTCCCCACTTCCCTCTCCCCACTGGTAAACACTAGTTTGTTTGCTATATCCGTGAGTCTGTTTCTGTTTTGCTATATACATTCTTTTTTTTTCTGACTTATTTCACTAAGCATAATATTCTCTAGGTCCATCCACATTGCTACAAATGGCAGAAATTCATTCTTTTTTATGGCTGAGTAATATTCCATTTTCTGTATGTCTCTCTCTGTGTGTGTGTGTGTGTGTGTGTGTGTGTGTGTGTACACGTGCACCACATCTTTATCCATTCATTTGTTGATGGACACTTAGGTTGCTTCCATATCTTGGCTACTGTAAATAGTACTGCTATGAACATTGGGATTTGTGGATCTTTTCAAATTAGAGTTTTCATTTTTTTCTGGAAATGTACCCAGGCGTGGAATTGCTGGATCCTATGGGAGTTCTATTTTTAGCTTTTTGAGGAACCATACTGTTTTCTATAGTGGCTGCACCAATTTACAGTCCCATCAACAGTTCACAAGGGGGCTCCCTGGTGGCTCTGGAAATGTACCCAGGCGTGGAATTGCTGGATCCTATGGGAGTTCTATTTTTAGCTTTTTGAGGAACCATACTGTTTTCTATAGTGGCTGCACCAATTTACAGTCCCATCAACAGTTCACAAGGGGGCTTCCCTGGTGGCGCAGTGGTTGAGAGTCCGCCTGCCGATGCAGGGGACACGGGTTCGTGCCCCGGTCTGGGAATATCCCACATGCTGCGGAGCGGCTGGGCCCGTGAGCCATGGCCACTGAGCCTGCGTGTCTGGAGCCTGTGCTCCACAATGGGAGAGGCCACAGCAGTGAGAGGCCCGCGTACCGCAAAGCAAAACAAAACCAAAAAAACAGTGCACAAGGGTTCCCTTTTCTTCACACCCTCACCAATACTTGTTATTTGTAGACTTTTCAATGATGGTTATTCTGACAGATGTGAGGTG